TAACGAGTTCATCACCACCAAACCAGTATTATATGAAATGCTGAAAGGTATCCTTTAAGAAGAGGAAGAAGAAGAAAAAGATAAAGGTAAAAATTATGAACAGCAAATACATATCTATCAACAAGTGAATCTAAAAGTCAAGTGAATAAAAAATCTGAGGAACAGAATAAACTGGTGAATATAATAAAATCAGGGGCATAGAAAGGGAGTGGACTGACAATTCTAGGGGGGAATGGGGTGTGAGGGGTGTGGGAAGAGACTGGAAAAAATATCGTACACCTATGGATGAGGACAGTGGGGGGGCGGGTAAGGGCAGAGGATGAGGTGAGAACTGGGTGGAGGGGAGCTATGGGGGGAAAAAAGAGGAACAACTGTAATAATCTGAACAATAAAGATTTAATTTAAAATATAAAATGAAAATAAAAATAAAAAAAATTTTTTAAAAAAGGCTTTGTCTCTGAAAATCAGTATTGTTCAACTGTGGGTGTTAAAATGTGCAATTTAAAGGAAATTATAAGGAGGGCAGGGAAGTGGTACCAGATAATCTGAAAGGTTAACTCTGAATACTGAAATAGGTAAATTTGCAGAGAATGTTCTACCTCCTAATTATACTTCTTTACCCATACATCTCTCTTTAACGGTGAAAACCGTAAGGGTTTCACCAGGATATTCCAGCTTTCAATCTTTAATGCTCTCAATTTCTCTCTAAATTCACAAACTTCCTTAAAAACAATTGCTCTTCACAAATAGATCTTTCTGCTAGAAAAAAGGTATTTTATGTTTTGTTCATCCTGAATAAATAAATTGACATTCAACTCTCATTCAGTTTTATATAAGTTTAGATAAGTGGGTAAGTTTTCTTGGGTCTGATCACTTCTGTGTAGGTAACTAACCAGATTGAAGAACAAAAAACAATGAGTCCAGGTGTTTACACAGGTACAGATACAAGAAATTCTCTAATTACAATTAAGTCAGAGTGATGATTTCAAATTTTAATTTGGTACTATTTATGGACAAGTTTCCTAAAAACATTTTACATTGTAAAAAGGAACTAGAATAACTGCCAATAAGAAAGTGTATGAACTGGAATGGTGGGAGTAGGCACAGTGGTGACAGTCCCTGATGTACAACAAAATGCCACAGAAACTTAGTCACATAAAAATGTCAGGTCAGGTATTCAAATCCAGCCATTTGAGACAAAGCAGTGAAAAATCAAGGAACCATCAGAACTAAAGCTCACTACCGTGAATTGTACTAAAGGTATATACCTTGTAAGACCTGGGTCACCAATACCTCAAAACCACACTAACTTGAAATCTTTTTTTTTTCCCCAACATACTTTCATGTTGCTTGCAAATAAAGCAATTAAGATAAAATACATAAAGATATTTTAGTCAAAAATTTTAAAATCAAATATCCATGAGTATTTGCCAGGCCTCGTCCCCTAGATTATAACAAACAATGTAATAACAAGTGACAAGGTCCTTGTCCTCGGGAAAGAACAAAGATGGTGACGCCCACAGCAGAGGTGGGGTTTCCGTAACACAAGATGGCTGCACCCACAGCACAGGCCAAGTTCCTGGAATGAGCCTTAATGAGCAAACAGCAGGGACCTGAGGCTGCATGGTGCTGGGCTGGGGCAGGGGACCTGAGGCTGCGCCTCCCCACCAGTGGGGCTTGACAGGGGACCTCAGGCCGCACCCCCTGCCCCGACCCAGGCTGGGGGACCTCAGGGAGTGTCCCCCACCCTGCGCTGGGCCAGGGGACTTCAGGCCACGTCCCCAGCCCCGCAGGGCTTGAAGGAGGACCTCAGGCCATGCCCCCCGCCCAAGGCTAGACAGGGAACCTCAAGGTGTGCCCCCCGCCCTGGTACTGGGCTGGGGGACCTCAGGCTGCACCCCCACCCCGCCGCTGGGGAACCTAAGACTGCACCCCCCACACCCAGCACCGGGCCGGGGGACCTTAGGCTGCGACCCCACAAGGCAGCGCTTGAAGGGAGCCCTGAGGCTGAGCCCCCCACTGGAAGTGCTAACCATAGCGATCAAATAAGAAAAAATAAAAAGTATCCAAATTTGAAAAGAAGTAAAACTGTCCTATTTGCCGACGACATGATACTATACATAGAAAACCCCAAAGACTCCATCAAAAAACTACTAGATCTAATAAATGAATTTGGCAATGTAAAGGATGTCCCAAAATTCACGCAAGAAGTAATTTTGATAGAAAACACAGGTTTATAATTAAAAATTGTAATTTTTTTATTGATTCATAAAGTATACAGTATAGGGTTATGTATGGAATAGCATATCGGGTAAATGGCCTCCATAGCTTTCCTGGCACATACGCACTCTTTTGTTATTGCCTGAGCAGCCGCATTTTCAAAGAAAGGTCCGATGATGCCTCCAGCCTAAAATCCGCACTAAACAGGGACACAGAGTGGATGCATTTGTTTCTCAACAATCACTTGTGGATTTTCTGAACCCCAAATCCAACAATTTTGTCGATTAACCAAGCCATCAAGATGAAAATGAGCCTCATCGAAATTCAGCCACATTTATGCAAAACGGTCATGGAAAATTTCAACAAAAGAGTGTGTATGTGCCAGCAAAGCCATGGAGGCCATTTACCCGATATGCTATTCCATACATAACCCTATACTGTATACTTTATGAATCAATAAAAAAATTACAATTTTTAATTATAAACCTGTGTTTTCTATCAAAATTACTTCTTGCGTTAATTTTGAGACACCCTTTAGCAGGATACAAAATTAACACCCAGAAATCTATGGCCTTTTTATATATCAGTAATGAAACCACAGAAAGAAAAACCAACATCATTAAAATGTCCACATTACCTAAAGCAATCTACAGATTCAATGAAAAACCTATTAAAATACCAATGGCATACTTCAAAGATCTAGAACAAACTCTCCAAAAATTCATCTGGAATAAAAAAAGACCTAGAATAGCCACAGCAATCCTGAGAAAGAAGAACAAAAGTGGAGGGATCACAATACCAGATATCAAGCTATATTACCAAGCCACGGTTCTCAAAATTGCCTGGTACTGGCACAATAGGAATGTATTTATTTATCCAAGCATGACCTCATAGAATAAAATATTAAGGAAATTATCTGTTCTAGGTCACCTATTTACATGAATAACAAAGTAGAAATGCAGAGAAATAAGCTATCAAGAGTCCCAGAGAACTGAGAGCAATCATCCTAATGAATAGAAAACTAACATACTCATTGAAGAAAAGCAATAATTGTGTTCAAATACTTAAAGGTCTACCTTGTGATATGCACAAAGACTTACATTGTAAGATTTTAAAAGACAGATATAGGTAGGACTAAGTTTAAGCAGAAACTGTGGTAAGGGATAGACTTATACTATCTACAAGAAATAATTTTTTTATGTACTTAGCTAGCCAAACATAGAACAGGTTTCCTTGTGAGGCATAATAATTAAGAACACAGACTCTGACAGTGACATATCCACTGAAAGACCCCGTGCCTCACAGACTCATTGGGATGATGTAGGGATAAAAGGAGTTAGTACCTATAAAGCACTTCCATGTTCTGTGTCGGCCATTCTTGTTATGATCATTATTGGTAATGCTCTTGTTATGAGGCACTTAGTTCCCATCACAAAGCATACCCAACCAAATGCCAAGTGACCTTACAACATAGAGGATTCATATACTGAACAGAATGAGTATAAACTAAATGGCCCCGAATGGTTCCTCAAAACCTGAGATTTTAAGATACTATAACACTACCAAGACCAGCACTGGACTTCAGGTCTTCAACTGCTCATCAGTTCAGTAATCCTTTCTACTAAAGGATTACGGTACTTGCCCTCTCCCTCATGATACCTCAGAAGTAAATCTTTTCTCAACTACTTAAAAAACACACACACACACACACACTCCCCTCCCGCCCCCCCGAAAATTAAGGGCTTCTCTTTTAAAATCACATTTAGGTCTGAATAAGAAAATTAGCATTAGATAATGCTTGTATCTTTCTGTTTTGTAATTGACTATGGAGGCAAACATACCTGCAGTGTCAGTGGTTGTAATATCAACTCCATTTACAAGGATGGCATTCAAACACTCAAGATTACCCTTTGAGGCCACCACATGGAAGCTAAAGAAAAAGAAAATATTTATTATGCCATGAAACTACCAAAAGTCAACTGAACTGTTACACTGATGTTACCTTTTTATTCCATACACACACACACAAATGTTTTAAAGGCTGGAACTCCTATATATTTAATACAAGAAAAAAAACACTATCCCATATACTGAAAAACTCACTTTACCCCCAATATATATAAGGGGCCAATACTTTCTAGAAATACCTCCTTAGAACCAATGGAACAGTCTAATATTCAATAGTCTTAATAATAGAAAATATGTACTATAAATCATTAACTCTATAGTTTATTATTTCAAGTAGAAGGCACTGGTGCTTGAAACTTAATAAACACACTGAAAATTTTCTTCAGCAGTGATATACAATATAATAAATTAAATATATATTTTGCTTAGTTTCAAATATACTGAAACTGCCCAAACAAATGAAGTTACAGCAGAATACTAAGGCCAAAGACTCATCAAAATCCTATCCCTTCTTTTTAGAATTATCACATCAAACCTAGGATAGAAAAGTCTTCAAAACAACAAACTAAATTACACTTACGAACCATAAAAGAACTAGCATCATCTTCTTCTCCAAAAGTACCAACGACTACCCTTAATTCTTCCTTTTGCTCATGGACCTGTATAACTGATTGATAGGTTTTTTTCTTGTATTAAATATATAGGAGTTCCAGCCTTTAAACAGACATAATTGAACAATTTTCCTAATAAGGCAAGTAAAGCCTGCTTAGAAATTAACTTTAAGCCATCAAGTATTCCAAACACACGATAAAATATCCCACTGTTTCTTTGAACATCAAAATATATTGTTAATCAAATACTTTGTTAATCAAAATATATTTACAGAAATATTTGCATGCAATAAGAACTTACATTGACCGTACTCCACCAAATCTAAACTGGTAAGTAAATACAGAAGACTTGTTGGCAAGTGATACACCAGGTTTAAATAAAACTGAGGCCCTAAACAATAACCATTGGGGAGATGGCAGGAGATAAAGGATGAGTAAGTGCTTAAAAGGTGCCTGGATACAGAAACACTCTGAATTTCTCATCAGGGGTCTTTCCTGACCACATCATTTAAAGGATTTATATTTCCCCATTCCCTGAAATCTCAGTACTCCAGTTCCCAATCCCACCTTTATTACTCTATATAGAATTACACATTTTGTAATATAACATATAAATTCAGGATTTATTTTCTTTATAGTCTATCAATATCTTCCCACTCAACTATAAACTCCATAAAAGCAAGGATTTCCGTCTGTTTTGTTTCCTAATATATTCCCAGAAGCA